CCAAGCATCAGCTCTCCTACTCAGCCCTAGTTCACTATGCTCCTACTTCCAATATCTCCAGCCCCACAAACCTTGAATCTGTAGTGAGCTTACTTCCTTTGTATCTTTTCTTCACAGTGTTCCCCCACTTTCTTTTCTTTGGGATTACTAAAATGTAATCCTGGATTGATTCACATTCTCCAGTTAGTGGATTTCCTCAGAGTTCAAAGTTGGCAAGAAACTACACTGATAAATAATTCCTCTTTCCAGCAGATGTTGTTTCTGATTTTTTGGGATCCGAGGGAAAAAAAAAACTGTGATTTTTCCAATAAATTTGCTAAATACTGTAATGAATTATGAACTTGAGCAGAGGATATATCATCTAAGAGGCCAAAACGCAGTTGGCAAATATTTTATATTTGAAAGTTATGGCTTATTTCAATTAATCAGGAAACTATTTTTTTAGGTTTGGCATTCTTTCTCAATTAAAAGTCATGGAATTATAAAATTATATTTGGTAATTTTAATTATTCATCTCATTTACTATTCTACTCAATTTTTAATGAAAATTCTGAGATTTTCATCTCTTTCAATAAATTTTTCCTCAGTATTGTCATCTTTCCTCCCTGAAATCGCACCTAATTGACATGGCAAGAAAAAAAGTGAGATTTCCTTGGGTGTTTCTTTTGTTTCCAATATTGGCTTTCTGGGCAACACCAAAGAAATGAATTATAATAAAATTTCTTGCCTTCACTGGTTATCTTTTCCATATAACAAACATCATACTTTTTTCAATATAAAAGCCATAGCATCCAGCAGAAACAAAATTTTTGTACAGTTTTAGATCTATGACAAACACACACAGAAGCAAATTTGAAGAGTTCTAGATATAATGTGAAAGCCCAGAAATACTTCATAGTACAATCAATATATACAGGTGTAGACTACCTTTCCTTAGAGTATGACATACAGTTCTGATTTTATATTTATTTACACAATTATTTGATCAGTGTCACAAGTTCTGGAAGGGCCTGGAACCTAGCTGTTTTACCTCAATCTCCAATACTCAGCTCAGTTTTCTAGAACATGGTGGGTACTCAATAAATTGTATTGCATGCATGGAGAAAAAGTATCTCAAGTTATACAGAACAACCATACCAAGGGGCAAGAGGAAACTTTTGGAAGTGATAGATATATGTTCATTATCATCAATGTGGTGATAGCCTCATAGGTGCATACCTATGTCCAATCTTGTCAAATTCTATACTTTAAGCAGATGAAGTTTATTGCATGTCAGCTATACCTCAATAAAGCTGCTTTTTAAAATGCCAAAAATCTATGACAATACCATGCTAAATGTATTATCCATAAAGTTCACAGAGTATATTACAATAATATTTTACAGAGGATCAGCATTATTGGAACATTGTTCGTTAACTTTTGGGGAAAAAAAACAGCACTTCTGATTAGGTACTAGTTTTCAATTCCTGGCTATGATAGGAAAGAATCTTTTAAAGTAAAAATCTTACCATTTAATTAGTCTCTTATCAGTTTGAAATAAGGGTATGAATTTAAGATCTCAACACTAGGACTGTTTTCCCTTGAATGTTCATTTACTTTCTTAGTAAAATATTCAGTAACATTTTCCCTAAAAGACTGTGAACTGGATGCTATTTTAAATATAATGGACAATAGAATTTAAAATTTCTATTAAAAGTCCTTTCATATAATACAAATCCACATTTTAAAACTCTAGTTTCATTTAAACAAGAGTATTTTCGATTACAGTGAAGAAAAAATCATTGTACTTTTAGTTGTAAATTCCAAGTATATGAAGTTGATAATAATGTTTAAAGACATTATAATTTTGAATTAAAAGCTTACTAAGGTGTTTGAACAGAGAATGATGATACAGTCATGAGAAATGAATCACAGGCATGAGAGAAAGTATTGATTTTATCATTATGAGTAAGAATAAGTGCCTGAATTATTCAGTGACAACGGATTTAGAGCTTTTAGTTGAAATCGGTTTGTTTTTAAAATTTCATCACTTAATTCTGACAAAAGCCAATATGGTATTCATAAGATTTTTCTGATCTCAAGTACTTCATGGCAAATATGCTCTAAATTATTTCACATAAATAATTCTGACAAAGTAATATATTCTAGCATATATGTTTATGAAGGGCATGACTTATTATCTCTTCAAATAGAATGCTACCTATTCTTCTACTGATGTCCACTGTCCAATCTTAGGGAACCAGATCATTCACAGTATACATAGTTTTCAGTTCATTCATTCATTCTACAAACATTTATTGGTACTGTGCCATACGACAGATACTAATTAGAATAAGACTAACATAGCAAGACCTATTTCTCATAAACAGGTAAACAAGCAAGTAAGAAAACTTCAGATAGAGGTTAAGTGCTAGGAGAAAGACAAAATAAGACAATGTGGTGGTGGCTGGCTCTGGAGGAAGAGGGGTAATCTAAGCTGGGGGGAGTTGTGGAATAATCTGAACCCAATGATCAAATGAGGGTGCAGAGGGAGATAAACCTGAGAGGCAGGCAAGGAGAAAATCATAAAGGGCTTGAGTTTTATTCCAAGTGCTATGGGAAGCCAATGAAGAGTCTTGAGAAATAACATAAACCGATTTGTGTTTTAAAATAACAACCACAGAGACAATGGACTCTGAAAAACAAACTGAGGGTTCTAGAGGGGAGGGGGGTGGGGGAATGGGTTAGCCTGGTGATGGGTATTAAAAAGGGCACATTCTGCGTGGAGCACTGGGTGTTATGCACAAACAATGAATCATGGAACAGTACATCAAAAACTAATGATGTAATGTATGGTGATTAACATAACAATAAAAAATTAAAAATAAATAAATAAAATAAAATAACAACCACAGCTTCTAGAAGATGAATGGGTGACAAAAATAAAAGCAGACAGATCCATTAGGAGGTTATTATAGGTGAGAGATCATGGTGACTTGTACAAGAGTGGCAAAGATGAAGGGAAGTGGATAGAATTAAGATATATTTTGGAAACAGAGCCTGAAGAATTTGCTGGTTTATTGGAGGGGGATGCATGTAAGGGATGGTGACAGAAAGAGAGCAATTAAGATGGGAAGACTTGGGAAACATGCCTTACAAATCTAATAACATAGTATGTTAACCCTACACTATCTGTTGAATCAACATAACACCAACTATGCATTAAAGGTAATAAGCATCTTTTCTTACAATAACCAGGTAGCTTTGCAATTTGATAGAATGTTATGTCATATTTTAACCTAAAAAATGTAATTATCTACAATTTAAGATTAATTTACCTAATTATTTTGAGCATCTGCAAAAGAATTTAGAGTATACTGGCCAGCACTATTCAGTGTCTGTATTTTATGGGAGTGTGGAAAACAACTTTCCACACCTCAGTCCTAATTGGATGCAGGGTTCTCAGGCATGTCTCTACCTTCAGGCCACAAGGTCGCAAAGCATTTCTGGCCGTATTATAAATCAGCAAATTAGTAAGCATTCCTCTCTCATTTTTTGACTATGAGTTCCTCCCAAAGGAGACCAAATTCTTAATCCTTGGTGGCCCCAAACAATAACCAACTCAGGCAATATCAGGTAAGTGAAAACCCACCAAGGTAGGAATATCCTCTGACATCTCTTTTTGAATTTCTGGACTTTTGGTAATTTTTTGGCTGACAATTCCAAAGACATTTTTTAACATCTTTATTAAGCTCTAATTCACATAACATGCAATTCACTCATTTAAAGTGTACAGATTTCCAGGGAGAAGATTTGTTATAGCCAAACTGATCTCTCTGTTCTTTCCAAGGATATAGGCTTCTCTATCATTCCATTTCCCTTAAACATTCACTAAACAATCATTGTTGGGTATTTACTATATGCCAAGCATTCCTATTTGAAATAATGTCTCCTTTCCTTAACTCTGACTTGAAGACCCAGTTTAATTATATTGATCACCTCAGCTCTTGGACTCTCTCCTTCTCTCAATGTCTGTAGGTTACTGGACATTAAGTATCAGCCATTTTGTTACATTGCCGGTTAACTTTCACATGTGCATTGTCTTTGTCACCTAGCACTCTGGCTTGGCCCCTCACACATTTTATGCATTTAATGTATATCTTGTGGAGAATGATAAAACCTGGTCCTTGGAAAAGCTGTCCTTGAATAACCCTCTTCCTTCTAAATCCACCAACAGTGTAGTCATAGGACCTGAAAGCTTTGAAATGATCTTGCTGACATCTGAATTGTACTACAGATTCTGTGACAAGGTCATGTTGCTGGAACCAGAGTTCCCTGCCAGGGGCTGGCACATTGCACTTTGCTCAACAATGGATGAGGAAATTATCTGAGATGGCTTTGAAATCAAGTAGATGCAGATTAGTGCAATATTCTGTGTCAATCAGGTTTCTGACCTAAAAAAATGTGTGTGATTTCTAGCAATCAGGAATGAGTGGTTTTTCAGAAATGAGTTAGTTGGGATACTCTTACCATTACAGATAAAGTGACAGAATAATCTGGGAGAGGACACACAGTGAGCTACAGACTATAACCATGCAGTGATCTTCTCTATATGAAAAGCAGTTGTCATTTCCTGTATGAATGGCACACCTTGTCAATTTTGCTGATGGCTTGTTAATGGGACACACACAGAGAAACACATAAAATGGATTGCTCTATCGAAAACAGAGGTAATCTCTGGTACTCCCTTCAGTTAATTATTATTTGTAAATAAGCAGAACTGAGCTTCATTTGAGGGCTTGTTAGGAATTACAAAGGTGATTGTTTGTAAATCGAATACTGGCATGCTGCTGTGCACTGATTTTGAATAAAAACTGGCTCTGGCTTTATATAAAATTACACCTACAATGTTAATCATAAAAGCACAGCATTACCTCTAGTTTCTGTTCACTAAGTTTTAAAGCTGTTTTTTCTGTTGTTATTGTTGTTGTTGTTTTTTACTGTCTCCATGTTGTACTTACCCTTTTAATTTTGTTCCAGACTCATATTCATCAAGTTGGAGGATGCCTGCTTTATACAGGAGGTCCTGGACCTGGAAGAAATAAAAATGGCCAGTGATAACTGTCCTAAGAAGACTGCACGCTCATTTCTTACTTTTAGAAGAACATACTTGCAAATCATGACCATCACTAGAACACAGTTATCTTGAGCCCTGCTCTACCCTTGCTGATGTTCCATGAATACTGGAAATACATTTTCTTTGTTCTAATCCCAGCCTCTGAATCAGAGCCAAGTAGAGTGGGCTCTTCATAAATATGCATTGACCGCCTGACAGTAGTATTAATGTAGGGCAGGGCCCTGCTGAGTAAATGTTACCTGCAGGAGGCAAAGGAAATACCACAAATGAAGATAAGATGCTATTAGTAGATTTCATTTTTTCTTGAGGCCTGGGAATAGTCACTATCTCTGTGGTCAAACCTCCTCAGATCTCTCCCTGCAGGATCTGAAAGCAGCTCACATAAAAGGCCTCCATGTAAGGCCTCTCTTCCACTGGGTGCTGGAGGAAGAGCACAAGATGAAGGAAGAAGCAAATTGCTTCTAACTTAATTTATTCCTTTCTTGCCATTTCAGCAGCTCACCAGAATCTACGTAAAACCTTACATCCTAACTCGATGATAAAATCAGCAATAAAAAAAAAAAAACACCGTACTTGTTTCCATAACTTGTTAGCATAGAACTCGGTATATAAAAGGTAATGAGGTTACAATGATCTCTAGGATACGAAGGAAATTAAAATCTTATATTTATTTATGGATTTTATATTAGGACACTCCCCCCCCCGCCCTTTTCAGGTACAACTACTGCTCCCAACTTCCTGCAGGTTTGAGTAAAAGCAAAAAACAACAACAAAAAAAAGTCATTTTTGAACCACCTGGCCCAATAGTTGAATTTATTGCAATTGCCGAGCTTTGTCAGGCTGCAGAGCACGCACTGGCGGGACGCACCGGCCCACTCGCAGGCTGTCCAGACGCACCCAGGCACCAGTGGCAGAAGGAGCACTAGCTCCGGGGAAAGCCCGGCCTCTGAGCCTGTTGCTCGTGGGCCAGGCAATGGAGCAAGTGCAGCTCAGGCGGCGGGGGCTGGCGGCCGCCCTGGGAGGCTAGAATTCCACCCAGGCGGCGAACTCGCGAGTCCTTTCCATTGCCCGGGTTGGGACTTAACCCTTAGCGTCCCAACCCCTCTCGCCCCTCGCCTGCCCACTCGGCCCCAACACCACTTCCCGGACCACGGACAACTCCATTGTTATTACAAGCCAGAGGGTAGCGGGAAGGGATACGCGGAGATGTGGGCACCAAAGCACCCCTTCCTCTCTAGGAAAGACTTAGCAGAGTCAGAACGGTGTTGAAGAAGGAGAGGACGAGTCGAAGCTGCGAGGCGGAGCGAGGGCGTTCAGCGGGGACGAGGAGGCTGGGAGCTGACCACCCTGCCCCCTCAGGAATGGTACGGTCCGGAGCGGGGCGGGGAGGAGGAGGTCCTCCCGGGTCTCTCCCCGCCCCTCTCCCGACTTTGCTGCCGAGCTGCCGCGGGAGCGAGTGAGCGCGCGCCCCGGCGACCCCTCCCCCGGCGCGGGCATCCGAACTCCTCCCCTCGCCGAGCCGCCCCCTCCGCGGTTGCAGGGAGAGCTCGCCTAGCTCTGCGGACGCCGCCACCTTCGGAGCCTCTTCTTCCTGCTCCGGCGTGCGGGGGCCGTCCGGCGGCGGCGCTGCCCTGGGTGGGCGACGGGGCCAGCGCGGCGGCTGAACACTCGGCGCGGCGCAGCCAGGTCTCCAGCCTGTGCGGCGCCGTGACAGGTGCAGAGTCCCGGCTAAGGCTCCACCTGCGGCGATCGCCGCGATGCCCACCATGCGGAGGACAGTGTCGGAAATCCGCTCCCGCGCGGAGGGTGAGTGGCCGCCGCAGCGCTGAGCTGTGCGCCCAGCCTGCACGGGGGTGGCTCGGGGCCAGCTTGGGGTCGGGCCGTGCGTGTGTTAGGGAAAAAATGCCCCGTCCCACCTCTTCCCCGAGGTAAGTCTGGCGGTCGCTCCTGGTCCCTGGCGACCCTTCTCGCTGCGCCACCTCCAGTGCACTTGCAGCCCCCTTCCCGGCTCTAGAACCCCGGAATTGGTGTCCTCGGCCGGAGCCCCAAGTCTTGCTTTACATCGCAGCGTGACCATTCGGTTCCTGTCACCGAGCGCTCTCGTCCTGCCCACCGCCCTCCCCACTAGCGCACAAGCCTCCCAGTCTCCGCTTGGCTTCTCCACCCTTGTGAACAGATCCCCAGCCCGCCGCCCCCGCCTACGGCACCCACCTTTTTGCAGCCCCCACACCACGGCTCCCAGAGGAGGGGAGTGCCTTTCCCAGATGCAGGATCCTTTGATCTACAGCCCCTTGCCTCTTAGAGCGTGAGGAGCCTTAACTGGGGCTGGGTGCTCAGCGGGTTCTGGGCAGTACAGTCTCTGCAATTCTCCTTCCTGCAGTGGAATCTCCACCCAGCTTCCATCTGAGATTTCGGGTTTTTTTCCTGTTACCTGAGATCCTCACTTTGGCCACCTGAGCTGACTTTTTAGCAAGGTGGAAGCTGTCTTCTTTGCTGCACCCAGGGCCAGCTGTTGAATGGCTACACCTGTCAGCACTGAGCAACAGATGTCCGAGGGTATAGCCAGTCAGCTTTTGGAGGCCGAGGCACCCTCTTCAGCTTATCTGAGGAGTTCTCAGCGTTCTTCCTGGCAAGTGATGGTCACTGGCTAAATATTTCTTGATTTTGCTTACGGCAAAGTCAAGACTGTACATATCTAGAGATTTCTTTTTCTTGTTTTTCTGTCCCATAAACCAGTACTTGAATCCTGCAAAGAGTGGAATAACATGTTTTTGAGAACTAGTCTATCTTCCCATCATCCCTGCCCCTCCACCCCATCTTTTAATGTGAGGCAGGTGGGAAAGTGGTTTTAGAAAAAAGATACAGCAGTTAGGAGAGTAGGACTCCAGGGCTTGCAACAAGCGATTTTATTATTTTTCCTCCTCAGAGTCTTCTTGTAAAAATATGGGGATATTGAGTTCTAATATCTATGGTTTACTGATTACAGCGTTTAGGCAATACTAAATGAAACTGCTCTGAGTAGGCGTCTGGGCAAGAGTCACAACTGACCTGTGGCCTACGCAGGAATTTAGTACATACTTCTTGTTATTTGTACTGTAATGAAAAAAGTATATATAAGACATTACAGTTTTAGATACAAGGTGAATAAATGGTCGTGTTATTTTTGAAAAGTACACAGTAAAAAAATTCATTGTTTTTTTTTAATACCTCTGAGTGAAATGGATGACTATTCCTAGTGATTACCTGAGTAAGCCATACAGGTGATGAAAATATAGTGGTAATAATTGGGATTGTTTTTTCAAATAGCAGCCGTTGATGAATCATATATTGTGGGAAATGAGGAAAAGAGAAAAGACCAGAAAACAATGCAAAACCTGTGGCATATGAGAGGATTTTATTAGTATTAAAAACTACAGTATTGTTTCTGGTTGTCCTGTGTATTTTTCAAAGCATTTTTCCGAAGATTGCCTTATGGACTCTCACAACATTCCTGAGGGTAAGTGAAGGTGGTCTCGTCTGAGGGTTGAAGGAACTGTGGCCCAGGTGGTTGAGGTGCTTGCCCAAGGTCAAGTAGTTAGTTCAGTGACACATTTGGATGTAGAGCTCTGGAAAATAAGGACTGTTTTTTATTTAATCTTTGTATTCCCTGTGCATCCAGCACAGTGTCAGGCAATGACCCTTCCCTCCCATATTGGTTGGTTTCAGTTTATTATGTGCTCAGGATTTTGCTCAGGACTATGGTGAGGACAACATAAATAATGACTCTGGGCTGGAGATGTGGCTCACTGCCCGCCTTGCCCACACTTTCCTTTCCTAAGGAATATTCTCCTTTGACAGTTCCTGCGGCCTAAAGGGCCTTGTTCTGAATTGCAGCCCCTTTGGCTCAGCTGATTGGACTGGGATGGGCTCATGACTCAGGGGTAGACAATCCATAGGTGGCGCAGACACTTGTAACCTTGTGGTTTGGCTCAAAAAGGTTCTCTGTGGTGATCATCTCTCTTGTGGGAAGAGTTAAGCTTAGAGACGTAGGGTAAAAATTGAAGCAGAAAGGGACAGAGGTGAATAGGCTAGTGGAGGAGGGAATGGCTGGCTTTAATGGGTCCTGTGAATGCTGCTGACGTGAGGAAGCAGGAACTATGGTAAACGGAGAAAAATAGGAGAGAGAATGGATTAAATGGAGAGAATGGGGCAGAGACACAGATGCTGAGAAGGGGTAGCCTGACCTTGGAAATCCTCCCTGAGTTTGCTAGTCCCTGTTCCCAAGTACTGTTAGAATAAGCTCTTTTTTCCCTTGAAGTGACTTGAATGGGTTTCTGTTCCCTGCAACCAAATTGGCCAGATGTGTGGCTGTCCTGTGTGCAAGTTATTTACATCCAAATTGTGGCTAAAGAACTTACGTGAAATAAATAGTCTAAGAGTGGATGTTATTAACAGAACATGGTGCTTGCTATGGGTGACATAGGTCCCATTAGCGGTCAGGACATAGAGCATGAGGCCTGCTCGGCGAACACTTCGTTGGGAAATAATTTGAGATGAGTGCTTCCCAAACTTTAAGGTGCACACAAATCATCTGGGGATCTTGTTAGGTATAGATTCTAAATCAGTAGGTGTGGGGTGGGGCTGCAGCTGTTGCCTTTCTGACAAACAGGTAATCCTGGATGGCTCTGGCCTTCAGGTCTGAGTAGCAGGAATCCAAAGGATATTGCCTTTTTCTGTGTGTGTTTTTTTTTCAATAGTTGGGACGGTGTTGAAGGTAGAGAGTAACCAATTGAAAAACTGGTGAACGTCAACATGGCTTATTTGAGAGATCTTAAGGAAATTGGCCAGGAGCAGAGGGAAGTTTGGAAAGAGTAGGATATAAATTTGGATAGGTAAATTCTGCTGGATTACAGGGTATTTCAAATGCCAAGATGAGTCATTTGGATATAGAATCAAGTATTGGAAGATCTTATCCATTTCTCATTCAAGCATGATGCCAGTGCATAATGTCTAACAGGGCCAGTTAGAAGCCAAATCATCATAGGGGAATGACATCCCCAAGGAAGTCTCTTACGAAGATACATCTGGAAGCATGTTGGATGGTTTGGACAAAATGGCACTGTAGACAGACTTTGTCATTAAAAAAAAGAAAGAAAGAAAAAAGTCTAGTAATGACAAAGCCAGGAGTATTTTTGGAGTGGAAAAGTGAAAATGGGAAGAGAGGAATCAGAGATTATTTCTAAGTAAAACAGAAGCTCATTCAGCAGGTATCTGTTGAGCTCCTACAAGTACTGTTCCTGGTACTTGGGATACATTGGTAAACAGAATAGAAAAGGCCCTGCTCTGGAGGTGCTTCCATTTTAGAGGGGCAAGAGACCAGACAAACACAATACATTAACAAATTATAGAATTTGTTATGTAATAAGTACTATCGGAAATAGAACAAGAAGGTAAGATGCATAAAATTGGTGGATGGATTGTAGGTTGGTTAGGTTGGACTTCACTGAAAAGATGACATGGACCAAGTGAAGGAGTTAGCCTTGCGGGAATCTAGGGAAAGAGTGTTCCAGGCAGAGGGAACTGTCACAGCTGAGGCCCCCAAGGCAAGAGAGTCAGGAGGGTTAAAGGAACAGTGTAGGGGAGAATAGTAGGAAAGGAGGTCACACCATAGGACATAGCAATACAGGGCAGGAGACAAATGGATTAAAATGAAAGGAAGTTTTCAAGCAGTAATTTTAAATTTTAATGTTTACAAGATCTCAGGTATCATTGAAACTATAATTTCCTAGGTTACTCATGAAGATTTTCTTCAGTAGGTCTGCAGTAGGACCGGGAATCTACATTCTTAATGAAATTGCTAGGATGTTCTGGTATAGGTGAAACATTTTGAGGAACTCTGCTTTAGTCTCAAAACTGCTTGGGAAAAACTATTAAGATAAGGAAATTGAGAAGGAGGGTCGATACAATAAGAAGTAGGAATTGTGGGATATCCAAAGGGATGTGTTTTGAAGATACTTAGAATTGGAGGTTAGATGTGGGCAAACTCAAAGGAGAATCTTGAGTTCAGAGGTCATGGTTGAAACCCTGATAGTAGACATATTTTCCAGAAAGCAAAACAGGATAAAGCTGAAACTAAGAATTCTGAATTTCTTCATTTTTACCCCAGCTAAATCAAATGGTCTCTCAATACAATGTTAGGAGTGCTAAAAACAGGGACTAAAGTTGTGGTGGCTTACACAAAATTTTTTCACCCTGGTAAAACTAGTATGGAGGTAGGCAGTCCAGTTCAGCTATGCTCAATTCATAAAGTTCAGAAGGAACATTGTCCTTATGACTTCTGCTTCAACATCTTCCATGAAGTCATAACATGGTTGCTAGGGTTCCAGCCATCATGGAAAAGTTCCAGGTACGGAAAAAAACACACACACAACCAGAAAGATGAGAGACCAAAGAGTTTACCTGGAAGTACCACACAAAGACTCATCCTAATTTTACTTTGGCTTCCATCTGTAAGGGAAGCTGGGAAATGGAGTTTTCTAGCTAGGCACATTACTCAGTGTTTTATTACTAAAGGCAAAAGGAAGAATGGCTGGTGGGTGGACAGCTAACAGACACAATCACCATCAGGTATTCAGATTATTAAAGGCTCTTGCTTGCAATAAAGGAATGTTCTAGAGCTCATATACAAAATAATAAGCATTAAGTTGTTCAGAACTAAGGAAATGTACACATGCGTGTCCAAAGGTTTACATTTTCTTCTGCTGAATATTATGCTAAAATGAAAGACATTCATTTGATTGTGTAAAACATGTGCTAAGTAATAAATT